GTTTTTTAAGATGCTACTATTGGAAGAAATTGGATAAAGGGTACATTTGATTTCTGTGTGTTATTTATTACACCTTTATGTAAATTTACAATTATATTTGTAAAACTTTCAGTCAAATGATGTTATCACAAAGAATTATATTTATCTTATTTGGGTCTGTTTAGCAAAAGATGACCTTATATTTAATATAATATGATACTTAAAAGTATAGCCTGATTTACCCTGACTTGGATCCTGGCTCCACCACCTTTTAATTGACCAAATTACTTAACCTCTCCTGGTTGTGTCTTCCTCATTAAAGGAATGAGAATAATAACAGTAAGTATACCTTAGAGTTTTGAGGATTAAATGAGATAAAGCATGTAAATCACCTTCCCCGTGCTTGACATATAGGAAACACTGGAAAGTACTAGCTGCTGCAATTATTATCATCATCATCATCACTATTATTACTTCTGTAATTAGAGCTAGAAAAAGAGCTTTTTACCATCTCTCAGCCTAGATTCTAATTGGACACTGGATATTTTGGCTTGTGTTTAGTAAGGGGCACTTTGAATTTTCATCTCATTGCTTTATTTAAAATAAGTTAAGGAAAATTTTATCATTTGGAGCTTAATGATCATTGCTAATTATTGTAATAAATTATTGGAATTAGTTACAGTAAATTTAAGATCAAATTATTATGGTTACAAAATGAGAGAGAAGAAGAAAGAAACAGAAACTAAACAAATATAATATCCACACTCCAGAGTCACCTCCAACAATATACCTCTGAAACATAAAATGGTTTTTAGTAGCAGACCTCCAGATTTTCTCTACTGAGACCATGTACACATGTGATTTCCCTTTTTTTCTATCACTAAAGTCCATGTGATGTAATGGGAAAAGCCCTGGACAGGGTAATTAGCAATTCTGGACTCTAGATCCAGCTCTGTCAATAGGCAGTGTGACCTTGGGCTTGTATCTTTTACCTTCTCTAGTCACCTGTTTCCGTGTGTGAATTGTGAGATTTGATTGTGATTCTCAAGAGTAGTCCCAGGGCCAGCAGCACCAGCTTTACCTGGGAATTTGTTAGAAAAATACACACTCAGGCCCCTACCTCAAATCTACTGATTCAGACTCTGAGGGTGGGGTTTACAATCTTTGTTTTAACAAGCCCTCCAGATTCTGATGCACACTAAAGTTTGAGCATTACTGCTCTGGGCTATTTTAGTCTAAATTTTAGATAGTTGGACCCAACCTCAGAGTTTCTGATTCATGGGTCTGGGGTGGAGTGCCATAATTTGCTTTTTTAAAGTTCTCAGGTATTGCTGGTGCTACTGGTTAGGAACCACACTTGGAGAACTACTAGGTTAGATCAACTCTAAGCTCATTCCCATCTCTGAGCCATTACTATTGCTTTCCCTATGACTTCTGTTTCCCTCCTTATTTACTTTGACCCTCAATTTATTAAGACTGCCTCTGAGCTAATAGCATTGAAAATTTCTCACATATCCTATCTTGTGGAGGGTGATGGACAGAAAGGGACTTCCCTAAATTATTACAGTTTATGTTAATATCAAACACCTACAACTCTTTGGCATTAAAAACAACCCTAGATAATTTACTTAGTTATCTCATGGACATAGCTAGTTACAAAGAGAATATCTTCAGGCCCCAAGATTCAAGAATTAAGGTCTGGCTTATATGCACAACCCAAGGACACGGACAATGGTGGGGAGAGGGACTGGGGAGGGGGATGGGATGGGGTAGAATGGGTCATTGGGGAGAAAAAGGGACATCTGTAATATTTTAAACAAAAATAAAATTTAAAAATTTAAAAAAAAGAAGAATTAAGGTCTGATGCCTAATTGCCATCGATCCCCTTATGATCTGAAGAGCTTAGGCACCAATGTAAAAATAAAATTATGTTTTCATTCTAAGATGCTGCTTAATGAATAACACTAAAGATCCCAAATGACATCCTTAAATGATCCCTGTAATCCCACCTCTTCTTTTTCATGGTTTTCTAGATGCTTGGGATGGGATAATGCTCTATGAGGCACGGTGTCTGCTGAAACTATGGCAAGCCCCTGCCTGCCTAGCTGAATTATTTAGTTGGCTCATGTTTTCTTTTTTGAATTAGAGTTATGGATAAGGTCCACTGTTTCTTCTTTTACCAGTAAATTGATAATTTTCTAGTAGTGAATATTCAAGCTATATAAAAAAGAGAGCAAGGACCTGACATTTACTGAGTGCCTATTATGTGCCAGTCACTGTGCCACAAGTGGTATTTTCGTTGTCTATTTAATCCTCACAATAACCAGGTAAGGGAGTTTCATTAGCTTTGTTTTTCAATGACAGATTAGACTCAGAAAGGTTAAATGACTGCTCAAGATCACACAGCCAACAGAATGTCAGTGTATAGATCTAAGCTTGGATTGTTTGGCAGCAAAGCCTTTGTAGGCAGAATAGATTCTGAATAAATATGTGTTGAGTGGATGAAAGAATGACTATATCACATTATCTTCCTAATGTTGGCTTTTAAACAATCATAGAGTTATGAGGTTGAAAAGACTCTATAGGTCACTATTTAATCGGGTTCTAGTTCTGCATATCCTTTTAAGAATTTCTACCATGTAGATGTGCAGCCTCTATTTGACCACCTCGAGGGAAATGGCACACATGTCCTCTTTATTTAGTGATTGTTGGATAACTCACTGTTAGAACATTCTTCTTTGCCTTAAACTTCCCTAAAATCTCTTTCTTTTGAGCCTAGATCTGCCCTTTGTAACTGCTCAAACTTAATCTGGTTTATGGAAAATATATCATTCCTTCAAATATTGGAAGATAGCATATGTTTTCTATCCCAAGCTAAATAGCCTCCGTTTTTTTCAGCTACTTCTCAAGATCCATAACACATAATAATAACTTAACAGCCTGGCCAGGTGGCTCAGTTCATTGGCTTGTCATCCCATACACTGAAAGGCTTGGGATTCGATTCCTGGTCGGGGCACATACCTAGCTTGCGGCTTGGACTCCCGGTCAGGGTGCGTAGGGGAGGCAACCGATAGATGTTTCTCTCTCACATCAAAGTTTCTTTCTCTCTCTCTCCCTTCTCTTCTCTCTAAAAATTAGTGGAAGCATATCCATGTGTGAGGATTAAAACAAATAAGTAAATAGATAAATAAATAAATAAAATAATAATAAATGTTTGTTAAATGACAGAAGGAAAGATTAAATAAATATGACACCTAGACTTCTTGCTTTCTTGTTCTCCTTCTTTAGCGTGAGAAGCATCGTGTTATATTCTAGTTGCTTGCTAGGACCAGGCTTCTAGGGGTAAATGAAATGATTTCATTCCATGCACTCTTGCACTGAACAATAGTGCACTGAACCCACAAAAAGCACTGTTTTATTTTCTGATGTGGAACAGTGCCCTCATCTTTGACATCTCAGATTTGCATCAAGTCACAATAAGCTGGACTTGAACAGCAAATCTAGTGCTTTTCTTCAGGGTTAAAGGCAAGACCTGGGCACTAGGGGATCAGCTCCAATTTAAGCAGGAGAAGTTTGTACTCCAATATACAAACCTAGGGCTTACCTCAGCTAAAATGGAAGAAATAGCTGCCCAAAGCTGGTTTCTTTCACGCCCCACTGGCAAGGTAGTAATTGCACAAAGACCTTTTTATTATAAGTTGATTTTCCTGAGAAATGAATTCAGAAAAATACTGTAACGTGTTTATTTTTTGCTTGCCCTTTATTAACCCACATCATAGGGCTTCCCCTAGAGAAAACCTGTGGGTGAGTGAAACCTCTTAGACCCACACAGAAGCATTTTGCAGTATGTCCCTGGCTGTGGAGGGAACAGGGATGGGACAAGGCAAGTTAGTGCTACTGAAACGGGGCCATCAGCCAGTAGATGGAATTCTGCCTGAAGAGAAGACTTAGGAATTTAAATGGGGGAAGGGTTTGGGCTTGGCAGAATTAGTGGGAAAGGTCTGCATGTTAAATAGAATATAATGTAGCCCTTTTATACTAGCAATGAGGCCAAAACCCAGTTTGAACTAAAAGATCATTTCTGTTAATACACCTTAGTTTTGATCTTTAAATAACAAAAGTCCCGTAGTTCAACCTATAAAATCAGGACCAAACGTTTCTGTGATGCTCTCCTGGAATCAGGACAGCAGGCACAGAGTAAAGCAGGGAGCCAGGAAATTAAAATGTGATTTCCACAGGCATGATTCTGTCATAGCTCTCATTTTCTTTATATGGAATACAAATACTGATATAGAGAGTGAAGATTTTCTATTTTGCATTTTTGTGCTCTTTGATACATTTACTGAGGTCAAATGAAATTTGATATAGTAGGATTTATTATGAAATGCTCTCTGAATACAACTCCATAATTACTGAGCTACATGGTAGTGCATAAAGCTGTAAAACTGCTTAGCCAGACAAGCAATTTATATGTTACGTCGAGGTGTGTATGGCAAAGAATATTAGTTTAATTGGGAACCAAGATGTAGTAGCCTTAAATCTGAAGAGCTATATGTTTAACATAATGCAGTGAGGCTTTGAAATAAGATACCTAAACTGGGAAGATACAGCTTTTGGAATACATAACAATTAGACATTACTTTCTGACCAAGGATACTAAATACTATTTTCAAAATAAAGCACAGAATGCAAAGCTGGTAACAGGATAAAACCTCTTAACATTGTATGGTGTAGGAAGCAGCTTATTTCTTTGTTTTTAAAAAGGAAAGAAAATAAAAGGGAAAGAAGTCGAGATAAAAGAAAACCATCCTGTGCAATTTAGCGGGAGTGAGGCTGCGGTGCGGCGCCAGGGGCTCTCGGAGCAGGCGCTGGGGCAGCGGCCTGCGCCCCGAGGGAGCGTGTTGGGAATGAGGTTGGGGGCGGGGGGCTGCCCGGGCACCAGCACACCACCGGGAGTGAAAAACAAATGCTGCCCGGAGTCTGCTTGCTCTCTGTCTGATCATAGGCTCTCTTCTGTTTAGCAGGTTCAGGGTCACATGCCTCCGCTCATGATCCCAATTTTTCCACATGACCAGCGGACCCTGGCCGCAGCTGCTGCTGCCCAGCAGGGATTCCTCTTCCCCCCTGGAATAACATACAAGCCAGGTAAGTAAGAGGGATTCCACATTCTTTTGGAAATGCTGAAATCCACAGGTTTTTGCTTAGTAGTCACAACAAACACAGGAGTACATGAAAGAACTATGAAAAAAAGATCATAAAAGCGTATTTAAAAGTAAAATTAGAACTGGGAAGTTAATTGGGAAGGTAACATGTTAACAAACTAATGGGTTGCTAAAATTTTACTTTCTCTTCTTCCCCTGGAGTTTGTTTTGAGTTCGCAGATATAAAATGCTGCTCTTCCCTGGGGATTACAAATTTTGTTAGCTCCATTTCATACTTTTACTGTGAATAATTGTCTTTCGTTAAAGATGCTTTTCTCCCCCTAAGAGCGTTAATATTCTGGCAGAGTGGTCACATATTGTATAAAATGTTGTCGTTATTTGTTGTCTGATTTCTCTTGGAAGAAAAGTTAAAACTGGATTGATTTAATTAGCTTGCCATTAATAGGTAAAATTCCTTTTTGATTTTAGTCTAAATAATGAAGCATTCAGTAGTATTTTCACATACATCTTCGAACCTCAAAAAACAGGTCACATAACCTTGCAGTGAAATATGTTTTGAGATGATTTAGCAAATGTTTTGATTTTCCTTTACTCCTCAGAGTTTACTGGACTCCTGGGGAATTCAATTAGGGACACGTAATGGTTTGAAGCCTCTTTCCGAGTCTCCTTGTAAACAGGGCTTTAAATGTTTAAAGATATGTTGCCAAAGGAATCCAACGTAACGAGATAGTCAAGTAAATAAAAGTCAGCCTTCATTTCATTTGTGCATTCTTTGTAAGTGACCTCAGCTCAGAAGTCGTGACCTTGTTCTACTCATTAATAATTTCTGTGTCAAGTCCTTTTTAACATATTAACCTGCTTATATTACCCACCAAATCTGTGTGTAACAAATCTGAGTGCAGCAGTTTCTTTGTGTGGGGGGTTTACAAAGTGAGTAAAGACATTTCATTTGCTCAAAGCAATAATAAAATATAAATCACTTTACTAAAATTCTTGGTAAGGAAGCTTACCAAATAGCAAAAAAAACAAACCTGATGAGTTTTGACATCTATTTTAATGGCTTATTGCCATTGATTACTCTTTTGCACTTGGTAGAGAACACCCTTCCTTGTGAGGAAAGGTAAGATGTCTGCGTCAAAACTCAAATGATTTAAAGAATAGAGGTGCTAAGGGATTGGCTAACTTAAAAACTGACTTTGAAAATTCCTCAGATACAAAAAAAAAAAAAAAGGTCAATCCTAGTATTGACATAGGTTTTTGGACAGCTGAGTGAAAGAAAGTTGTGTTATTCAGATTGCTAAAAATTGATTTTTCTAGAGGAGAATTTTTTAAAACAAGTTATATACCCTCTGAAATTGGGATTCATATTAAGGACAGGAGTATATTTTGTCAGAGAATTTGATCCTGTCAGTGCAGTGGTTCAGTTCTCTGATCTCTTTATTTCTGAACTATTTCTTCATCTTGACTCCCTTTGGAAAGTTAATGTAAACTATATTTACTGGTTTATGCTGAATCTGACTTTATCATCTCTATACCAGTCTTAGAACCCTTTTAAGTGAATTATGTGTGGAAACTCTGTATTTAATTTCAGTGTTTATAAATTTAAAATTCTCTACATTTCAAAATCAGGTAGGTATGGGCCTTACTTTCTTCTAAACATAGGTAGACATCAACATAGTTAACATGTTACTTACCCAATTTTGTTAAAACAATGATGATGTTTTCCAAGGGGAAAGATATTGTTATATAGTCAGTGAAGTTGGACTATTTCTTAGTTATTATTATTATTATTTTTAATCCTTACCCGAGGATATTTTTCCATTGCTTTTAGATAGAGTGGAAGGGAAGAGAGAGACGGAGAGAAAGACAAAGGTTTAGAGAGAAACATCGATGAGAGAGACACATTGATTGGTTGCCTCCTGCGGGTGCCCGATTGGGGCCAGAACAAACTTGCAGTGCAGGTATCGCCCTTGACTGGGAATTAAACCTGGGACCTTTCAGTGTGTGAGCCGACGCTCTGACCACTGAGCAACACTGGCCAGGGTGGACCATTTTTTAAAAAGTCGTCTTATGCAGCATTAATGAGATTATAGTATGTAACTAAGAACAATATAGAGATTGGAACAGTTTTGTGCAGCAGTGAGTTATGTCCATTGGACAGCATATGTACCGTGCAGGGTAGTATTCTAGGGAAGCAAAGTTGTTTTTGATTATTTTGGCTAAAAACTTTTTGGTTAAGGCAGGACAGGGATTTGGACATTAAGACAATTTTTAATCACAGGCAAGGCCGGTGAAAAAAGTATTTTCTGGTGATCCCTAAATTATGTCAGAGAATTTAATTAACCAGAACTCTATATTCTTTAATACTTCGGCAAATCTAGGCTTTATTGTGTATAAAAATTACACTTAAAAAATGATTAAAATTATATGTTCTTACACTCTTAGTAGAAAAATTACATACTCAGGAGACTTAATCTATGCAGTGTTCTCGTCATTCACATGAATTGGGGGAGGGCAATACTGTTGGACCGTAGTCTGGACTAGGAAAACTTTTTGGCTCCAAACTGAGCTATGATAATTTCACTTGAAATACACATGAGACATTGACTAAATTTTTAGGAGAAGCTCTGTCGCATATAAAAGCCATGAAATGGTCACAGAACTTTATATTTTGGTCCCCTAAGCAAGAGGTTGAGCAAGAGCTACCTTGGTCTGTATTAATTACAAAATAAGTGGCGCTCTTTTTTCTTCTTTGCTACCTCCGCATAACCTAAAACAGTTCCATAGAGCTCATGCCTCCAGCTGACTGAATAATCATCTTTATTACTAGAAAGCCAGACCCTCCTTGGGGTGATGTTCATGGTCAAAGTTGACTGTTTCTGTCCTGGCCGGTTTGGCTCAGTGGTTACAGCGTCGGCCTACGGACTGAACGGTCCTGGGTTCGACTCCGGCCAAGGGCATGCACTTCGGCTGCAGGCTCGATCCCCGGCCCTGGTTAGGGTACGTGTGGGAGGCAACCAATCAATGTGTCTCTCTCACATCAATGTCTCTCTCTCTCTGCCCCTCCCCTTCCACTCTCTCTGAAAAGCAATGGAAAAAATATCCTCGGGAGAGGATTAAAAAAAAGTTGGCTGTTTCTGAGCCCACATTAGGACAGTCTGCGCAAATATATTTAGGGCTCTGGGCCTTCACCTTCACATGCTGTACCGTTGCTCTGGGTGCCTCAGCGCCCGGTGTGCAGCCAACAGCAAGCAAGTTCTCCCACCTCACTGGCTCACTGAGGAGGAGTGTTGCCTGCAGCGATTGTGCAGTTTTAGGGGAACACCTATTAGATTGGTCTCTGTCAAAACAGCTTTATTGAGCTTTAACCCAAATCCAAAAAAAATTTTTTAATGGTTCTATAATTAGAGACATCTTTCTAGAAAGGAACTCATCAGGGCCCAAAACAGACCACAGACTTTTGGTTGCTTTGCTCCTTTACTGAATGATACTGAATGATGCAGCAATCCAGGGTAAGGTAAACACGTTTAAGCACCTATGTTTGACAAAATTAAAGAAGTGAGCCTCTTTCATGGCTGTCAATGTATATGTCAAAGCAAGGTTGAATTGCCTGTACAATAGGAACATTTTATACACCAGCGATGATAATATGATAATAGCCAAAACTTACTGAATAGTTTGTGCCAAACACTGTGTTAAATATCTTGCATGGGTTATTTTAATTCTTATTTGAACATATTTAACCTTTCTGAACCTCACATTTTTGTCATCTACAAAAATATGCTATGATTTTGTCCATTGCTCAATGTGGATATAAAGGTTAAGTCTGTTAAAATGTATGAAAGTTCTTTCAAAATTCTAAAGCACTAGGTTTGGGGATGAAGTCTGACCATGAAGCTGAGTAAATTAAACTGCACCCTTGTCCATTAGAAATGTGGTCCAAGAACTGAGCATTTGACTGAGACACACTGTCCCTCTGCCTGATGACCAAAAGTAATTTTACAAGTATGCCTAATGCTTCTTTTAAAAAATGTGGTCAAATATAAATACCATAATATTTATCATTTTAACCATTTGTAAATGTACCACTTAGTGGTATTAATATATTTACAATGTGTAACCATCACCACTATGTATATTCAAAATTTTAATCATCACCAAAAAAACTCTGTGCCTATGAAACAACAATGCTCCCTATCTTCTCACTCCTAACCACTAGTAACCTCTATTTTACTCTCTTTCTCTATGAATTTGCCAAATTCTAGGTACTTCATGTAAATGGAATCATACAATATTTGTCCTTCTGTGTCTAGCTTACTTCATTTTCAAGGTCCATTTAAATTATATTGTATCTGAAATATTCATTCCTTTTTATGGCTGAATAATATCCCATTGTGTGTGTATGTCTTTTGTTTACTCACTCACCTGTTGATGGCCACTTGGGATGTTTTTACCTTTTGGCTATTGTGAATGATGCTGCTGCGAACATATGTTCCAGTCCCTAGTTTCAGTTCTTAAGGATATGTATGTGGGAGTGGAATTGTTGGCTCATGTGATAGTTCTGTTTAACTTGCTGAGAAACCTCCGAACTGTTTTCCAGAGAGGCTGCGCCGTTGTACATTCTCACCAGCAATGCAAGAGAGCTCCAGTTTGCCCACATCCTCACTAGCACTTGTCATTTAACAGGGGTGTTTTTTTTAACTATAGCCATCCTAGTAGATGTGAAGTGATACTTTATTTTGGCTCTGATTTTCATTTCCCTAATGATGATTTTGAGCACTTTTTCCTGTGCTTACAGGGAATTTGTATATCTTCCCTGGAGAAATGTCTATTTCAGTACTTTTCCCATTTTTGAATTGGGATGTTTGTTTTTGTTGTTGATATTCCGAAGTTCTCTATATATTCTAGATATTATCCCTGATCAGACATATGACTTGCAAATATTTTCTCCCATTCTGTAGTTTTTCTTTTCACTTACTTAAT